ATCCTATGGCATTTGCAAATCAATGTATCCTATAAAGAGCAACACCTGATGTCTATATCTCAAAGAGGCTGCAATGAAAGGATAAGATGTTCAATGTTGTGCAACTCTCTCTTGCTATAAATTTCAAAGCCCCATTCTTTTTGTTAGGAAAGGAGAGCTATGAATAAAAATACATACCAAAATATATGTGCGGTGCCTTTCTTGTGTGCTCATGTTGTATCTATATTAAGAACATAAACAAACAGAAGGAGAACAAAGAACAAGTAAAAGCAATTTCAAAGTGACAATTGAATTAGTCAAATTCTGGACTCTCCAAAATGCTACATAAATAGAGTAAATCTAAACTCAGGTGGAATTTCTCCATGTTTGATAACAACAATCAAAGCAATTCAATCTCAGTGTGTGAGATATCCTGGTGTGTTAAGACTCTATATTAAATGTAACTAGGTGAGAGAAAGGGTTTATGATTTGAGGAAAAGGTGCATTGGTGGACTGATATTAATCATTTCCATCTTATTGACCTTTTACTGCCCTCAAAAGTTTTTATGTTCTCTGTGCCCCCTGTGGTATATATGATCTCAGGCAGTCTTGTTGGATAAGCATTACAGTTTGATTCTTCTCCATTAAATAAACAGGAAACAGTGTATATATAGTATACACATATATATGCACAGTGCCCTTCACATCGGGAGGGATGTCCTTATCATGTTGAAATGTCTCAAAATGTCTTAATTACTTTTAAGTATAGTAACTGTAGGGAGAAATGAGGCAGCCAATTTGTGTGCTGAAGGATTGTAGACCAGTGCATGGGGAGAAATATTTTAAGACCCAAGGTGTCAGTAACTCCCAGTTGATATGGTTGTCTTACCAGGGACTTCAGTGAGATGGGAGTCACAGTACCTACCAAGCACTGTGAGCTCTTGTCAGGATGCCCCAGAGGGGTTTGATTTATTGGTCGTTTTAGCTCCCAGTGTTTATCAATCCAATGCATATGGTTGTCAAGGAAATGTTTACTCAACCATGTATGATTTTCTGCTTATGGCTTGCTTTTCAAATTCATTGGAATTCAAATCACCAGTATGAGCTTTGTATTGTCCCCACTGCGGTTCTAAAAATCAGTCAGGCAAAGTTGCACATGTGACAATTATTAACTTAATGCACTGAATAACCCTACACTTGCAATGTATTTGTGGCTTTCAGCTGTCTCTTGTTTTCATATTAAGTCCCAGTATATCCTCTACAAGTCAAGAAGATTTTCATCCCAATCTAACCCTGTCAGAAGCTGCGATCACACATTTTTACACTGAGTAGAAACAGCTTAAACCTTTCTAGCAGACACAGCTATGATAGCAAGATTTTGACAGGACATGACTTATCCATTGGAAATTGATTGACTTCATCCACTTCTCCATCCATCAGAAATGAAGACAATTGAGGTTTCAAACAGTAAAACATGTCATTTAAGCTGATCATATACCATAGTGTATTAAGAGTAGTAAAAATAATCTGATTTTTACATAAATTTACCTAGAACATTACAACACGGCAATTTGGCTGAAAACGTCTGTGCTCCTTTTTCCCCTCACCTTTACCTCTATATTCACTTCTCCCTCATGTATGGATAGAGTTTTCTCTTATTTAAAATATTGGTTTTCACTTAAACCACAGCTTCTAACAGTGAGTTCCACATCCTCACCACCCTCTGCATAAATAATTGTTTACATTTCAGATCTTGTGCCTTTTTACCACCTGATGCCATGTCATCTGATATGCTTTGTATATGAACAAAACATAATTTGATTAAAAAAGGAACCCTTTGATAAACAAAGATTCATCTCAGTGTATTAAGATATTAGACTGTACACAGTATGTCCAAATACAAGAACCCTGGCAATCAACTTGTACACTTCTGCAGTTTTTGTTCACCTTGATCAACTGAGGAACCTTGAATATGATTTATGCTTCTTATAATACTGCAGGTCAATAATAATAATTTGTATTTATTATTAATGATAATGCATGCATTAATTATAGTGCCTTATCACATTTCAAACTGCTTCACAGATTTTAATGGAAAGTGTAAGTGGCTATATTTGTCGGCGAACACAACCTCAAGCTGAATTTTTTTTTACCTGGGAAATTTGCGGCCACAACACTGGGAGAAACTCTCTTCTGTTGCCATTGATTCTTTCCATCCATCTGAGCAAGCTGATGGGGCCTTGGTTTAATGTCGCATCCAAAGGACAATGCTGGACTAATCCAACACTATGCCAGAGTATCAGCCTCGATGTTAAACAAAGTCCCGATCTGGGGCTTAAACCCCCAGCGTTCTGACCCAAAGTGTTTCTAATTGAGCCAATTCCTTTCACATAATAAAAATGTCTCAAAGCACTTCCCAAAATGTAATTGAATAGAAATCAAAGCTATGTTTTTATATTGACAACTAATCTGCATCAGCAGCATTTCATAGTTAGAATGATTATGTTTTGAGCTGGTGTTAATGGCACAGAGAAGAAGCTGCTGTTTTGGCTGGGATAACATTAGTGACTTTTAGTTAAAGATTGGCTCACTCTCCTTATTCCCTCACTTTGCACCTTTTCCCTTGGGTTCCAAGTGACTTTGGAGATGATGAAATCTGATGGCTCTGTATATGAAACCTGTTTGCTATTTTATCAGCTTTCTCTAACTGCAATCTGACCTTTAATGAAATGATAGCTCATTCCCCATTAGTCTGAACTGCTTCCCAATCAGACCTGGTAATAGAAGAAAGACTAGTAACAGGATTGTGGAGAGGCAGTTTTCAGAAAACACAGCAGGGACCAGCATCTTTATCTGGGAGAGTATCAGGGAAAGGAATATTCAGCTCAAGAGGGTCAGGGAATGTAGCAAAGTATAGTGAGTATATGAGCTGGTTTATTATACAATAAACTCCTGATAACCCATCACTCCAAGGAAAACGGGCTCAGTGACAAAGTATCAGTAGTGGTAAGTTAGCCATATGTATAAATACCTAAATAAATGTGGCTGATATATAGACAGCATGATGACTTAAGTGGTAGTGATAAGTTAAACCAAAGCCAGGGTTGATTTTTCAGGATTTTACTATATCGCCTATTCCATGTTGGGTGAAGTACATTTATTGTGCCTAGAGACAGGAAATTTCTTATCATTTTTCTCTTTTTCCATCTTCTCAATTTTTTTGCTTGGATGAAGTTCATGACTCATTCAGGGTTTTTTTTTTGCCTCAGAAAGAAATGTCTTAGAGGGATCACAGAGGTGTATATAAGTTGCTAAATCAGATTGAAAAATCTAACATTAAAGTCTGCTGCCATTTCCAATGATGACTTACAAAATATCACTGCAGTTCAATCTTTTCAAAATCCCTATATTTCTTTCATGATGTGAAATATACTTTGTGGAGCACACATTTCAGAAATTGCCAATACTCTTTTAGATTTGGCAGTCAATGTTGCTGTATTTGGATTATTTTTTTACTGCAGCACATCTATTTTAGTTATTAGGTTGATTCAAAATGACACATACTGCATATAACTGATTTTGAGAATTCAATCCCGTCTTGGTATGTTTTGGGAATCCATTACAATGCAACAATCACCATATAGATCGGAGTACTGGGCCATCTCAGTTGCAAGTTTCAGTTAGTTTCCACTTCCAGCATCTATCCTATGAATCTTTCCCGATGCTGACTTTGGAGATGGAATCTAACAATTGATAAATAACAGGTAGCACTATTAAATTCTGGACTGTATTTTGCCATGAGAAACCTTGGAAGCAGCATAGAAGTGGATCATAAATTGCTCTTGCTATTGACGTTGTAATCGCTATTCTTCATTAATATATTATTCTGCTTCCTCCCGAAAAGTAAGGATTCCCAATGACCCAGTGCACATCTTTTTCACTTTTCCCAAAGGATTGCACTATTCACATGCTGGGTGTCCATGGTACTCTGCCAAAATAGAGTTAATAATGTAGTAGTTTGCAAACAGGACATTACTGTGATAATTGCAATTTCCGGTCTGCATTAGAAATCAGAGATTCGCAACCATATTCACTAAAACAATGGGCAAAAATTATAATTCTGTGGGCTATTTTGCTTCCCAATATTTGGTTTGGGTTTTGTATGCTGATATCATCAGTGATATCCTTTCCTCCCCCCCACATCATATAGTATATTGGCACACACAGTTTATGCTCCCAAATCATGAATCGGATGTTGGAGGACAGCCAGGACCCACAGAACCACATGTCCAGAGGAGAAAAATCATACTTTATAGTCTGTTATGTATAATTGAAAGAATAAATAGAAATAATGTTCAATCAAGGTCATCTTTCAATCAGTGTCTGTAAAGTTAAATTAATCGATGGAACTCTGTGTGAAACTGTGAAACATAGATAAAAATACCTCAAAACTGCTTTTCAATTAAAGTCAAATTGACTGCTTCTGAATCATTAGGCGAGTGTGACCAGCATTTTTAAAACCCTGTGAACTTGCAAATGTAGCAGTGGATCTTTAGTGTTCTTGAGAAGCAGTTAGATGCAACTGTGGTTTAACAAAATCTTCATTTCACTGATAATATTTCCAAGAGGATCCTAAAAATTGAGTATAGTAGTGTAGTGTACACATCAGTGCAATAGTGCAATGTACCATTCATTGGCGTGAAGCATTCATCAGCAATGCTGATCTAGCAATGCTGATCTGCACTCAGTCCATTCCACTTTTCCAGCTCACATAAGTAGAGAACTGCAATGGTGCAGATTAGCACTCAAAAAAGAAGGAATTTCTTTCAAATAAACTGTGTCTATTCATATCATGCTAATGATCAGAAAACCATCTAAGCTTATTGCATTTACTGATGATGAATGAACGTATCAGCACCTCACTGCACACTGAGATAAGTAATTGCTAGGTGTGTAAATGATTAAATGAGAAAATGGGAATAAAAAGTCTAAAGTCCACAATTGATCTCTGTCTTTTTCAGCCGATAGACCGCCAGCTCCTGTCAATGTCACCATCAGTCATTTGAAGGCCAACTCAGCGACTGTGTCCTGGGATGTACCTGAAGGAGATGTTATCATCGGCTATGCCATATCGCAACTGGTAATGTCTCTCAATCTCATTTCACTTCTTGGCTTCTGTTCACAGAATGCTGGCACACTCTGTCACCAGCTCCTCTTTTATCAGCAAGTAATGTTTTGCCTTTGAAATCATTGGCCGAATAGCTCAAACCACTTCTGAACAATAACAATCCCAAGTGTTATGGTCCAGACTATGAGTGTTCATTAAATAGTGGAATTGTTGCTGCCATACAACTGTGGCATTCACAGTGGTCAATATATAAGGAATTATACAAACACAGCACTGGGAAGTTTAATGGCTTATGCAACACTTATTGAGCAGTAGACCTTGTTATTTTCGCGTAGAAGAATGCATATTCATTTTCTATAATGACATAATATAACTTAAATTCATGCATAATTCACGCTTTGAGGAAACTGACAAAATGTAGAAGAAATGCATGAAGATTGTTGAGACCCTAATTTCCCCTCTAAGCACAATTCTGAGCACAGAGTCATGGCCAATTGCACGTACATGCAAATTTACTTACCTTCCCCCTTTGCACAATGTTCTGTACTTTGAATCCAATTTAATAGTTGCTGGTTTTGCTCCGTGTGTGGGAGAAAGACCACATGGAGTCCTTGTCAGCATAGGTGAATTATCCTCTTTGGGGGGAGGTAAGTGAGGTATGCTAGGAACTGAACTGGTTCCAAGGTGACATGCTTGGCAATGGAATATCAGTATTGAGTCAACTCTCTATGGGGTTTTCGGTTGACTGGTTTGTGGGCCAGATGGATCCACAATACTCCAGGGCACTGCTGATGACAGACTAACCAGCCTGGCTCATCAACAGCACTTGGATGGGTAGATCAGTCACTGAGAGTAGGGATTCTTCCCTCTCAGCTCTTGTCACCATGCAAGTCACAGTCCTAAAGCTGGACACTTGCCAGACAGTGCTCTCAATGACAACTATGCTGTTTTAAATGCTTAAATTGAGCAGTATTCCAGTGCCCATACTAGGGTCCCTAATCCTTGGCTCTCGCCAACTTATGACTAATACCTTCTGGAATTAGATATGTAGGGTGCATCTTTCCTTGCAGAGAGTGAGTATTCCATTCTAGACACAGGAAATTTCCATGTGTTGGTGGCATACATATGTGGAGCTCTCGATTTGGTTTGGATACTCTTAAGCATGGTGATGGGTTTCCGTATGTATCAGACACATAGCTCATCAAAACCAAATAAAAGTGACTAGTTCTGTCCTTTAATAATAATAATAATTCTTGCATTTGATATAGCACCTTATCATGTTGTTGAGACATCCCAAAACGCTTCACAGAATATACTGTAAAGTGTAGGAATCATTCTCCCCAGCTCTTCCCTACCAAGCTGCAAACTACCCAGAAATCTGCAACCTGTGCCCTCTCCTATCATCCTCATTCAGTTCCATTCCCCAACCCTGAATTCAAGATCCTCATTCTCATTTTTAAATCCCGCCACAGTCTTGCTCCATCCCACCTCTGTGACCTTCTTCAACCCTTCCCACCCGGCTGCTCCATTCGCTCGGCGAGCTCCCGCCTACTTCACATCACCCGCCCTATCTGCCCACTCTCTGATGGTACTCCATCCCGGACTCCCTCAAACTACCTTCCTCCCTCATTTCATTTAAGGCCTACCTGAAGACATAATGCTTTGACCATGCTTCAATCATCTTTTCCATCTCTATTCCCTTAGTACGCACCCCCAATTTAGGAGCCCGGCCAACAGTGACAAGCTCTTTGGGAGGTCCTCTCCAGGCACTCTATCAATGTAAATTTGTATTGTGTTTTATTTCTCAGTTTAAAAAATTCCTTCAGTGATGACATGTCCTCTTCCACAGGACCCAGGTCATGCATATTATCGATAGAAAGCAATTGTGGCCAGAAATATCAGTGGACGTAGAAAAAAGCTGTTTGAAGCAGGCATTATCTGGGGTGTTCCAGTGCAACATAGTAAATTCAAATCTTCCCTGATATCAGAGCTGGTATTAGTGATCCTGCTTATCTTATGTAGGATTAAGAGCGAGTTACCATTCTAACCTTTTAGCACAATTCAAAAGTGGATTTGAAACCTGGAATCATGCCATCTGGCAGCACTTTCCTCCGCAGAATGCTTGTTGTCAGGGGAGACCTGAAAGAGTTAGAAAGGGGGATAAAAAATCTCAAATAAATTATCAAGGAAGAAGCTAGCTTGTCATCTTTTGCACAAAACTTAAGCATTTTCACATCAAAATTTAGGGAGATGGGCTCACAGAGCCCATGTGGCAGAGAATGTGGACTGCAGAAATCTGAATGGTCAAGAGATGACTCAACCCTGATGTTGTTCCCTTCTTGATCAAGCAGTGCTTCTGCATTCAATCCGCATGAATGCATTCACAGCAGCTTCTTTGGTAGCCAAGGAGTAAGCCACGACATCCAGTTATCAGGTTACTTCTAGTGTCACCGTTTCATGCACCTTACTGGTCCAAGCCCATCACCTCATCTTCTCAAGCTCATCTGTCTCTCTAACCCCCAATGATTCAACTTCAAGATCCTCATCGTTACTTTCAAATGCCCCCACAATCTTGCCCCAATTTCTAAATATCCAAAGGATGTTTTTAACCCGAAAGTTTGAAAATGAAAGTTCACTTACTGTTTAAAACATTCTTCTCTACAGTGGGCGTATATACATTCTAAGATAACATCAGGTAAAGAAAGAAATTGCATAATTATAGTACTTTCTTACATTGAAATGTCTCTAAGTGCTTCACAAAATATCACTGTCAAAGTATTATGCACTTAAATAATGTACTCATCGTATTCTGTCCGCTTGCTTGGCTCGGGTCTTCTGTACGTCCTTTGTCTCCTCTGTTCAACAATTGGTTCAGTCATGATGCTCCGAATCTCTGAAACTCCTTGCCTCAATCCCTCCATCTTGTCCCCTCTTTGCCCATCTTTAAATGACACCTAAAGACTTTTATCTTCCACCATACCATCGGTCACTTCCCCTCCCTTTCCGTTTCAACGTCAAACCACTGCAATGTTAAATGTTCCAACACCAACATTTGTATAGCGCCTTTCACGTTGGGAGGACGTCCCAAGGCACTGGACAGACAGAGTCACAGACTTGAGCTGAGGGTTGGGATGGGGGAGTGGGGAGGGCAAGGGGGGAAGCAGGGAGATCGAAAGTACGGTCGAAGAGGAGGATCTTGCGGTGGGTCTTTAAGGTGGCGAGGGAGGGGATGAGATGGAGGGACTGCGTGATGGAGTTCCAGAGAGTGGGTACAGAGTGGCGGAAGGTCCCTCCGCTGATAGCGGGGTAAGCAAGGCGGGAGATGTGAAGCAGGCCGGAGCCCGCTGAGCGGAGGGAGGGAACAGGGCGGTAGGGGTTAGGAGGTCGGAGAGGTAGAGGGTAGCAAGACCGTGGAGGACTTTGAAGGTGAGGACCAGGATCTTGAACTGCATTCTCTGTGTGATGGGAAGCCGGTGGAGTTGGGCAAGGATGGGGGTCATAGGGTCGCAGAGTCTAGTGCGGGAGAGGACACGGTCTGCAGAGTTCTGCATGATCTGCAGCCTGTGGAGGGAGATGTTGGGGAAGCCGACAAGCAGTGAGTTTGCATAGTCGAGCCTCGATGTAATGAAGACAAGACAATACCTGCCTGTTTGAAGTGTACTATATAAATGCAGGTTGTTGTACATGAATTACAAAACTGTTAAAGTCAGAATATGTGAAATACAATGCACTGCTCAAGAGTGTATGTTTACATTGTGTCAGGTATAAAACCATTCAAAGCAAGAAGCCACCCTAACTGTCGTCTTAGGAATTTTATTGTCTTCAGATGACTTAAATCTGAAATAGATTTTAGTTTCTTGTAATATTACAGGTACTGGCCTGGCTCAGTTGGTAGCACTCTCACTTCTGAGGTGAATGGTTATGTGTTCGAAACCCACATTGGGACTTTGAACTTACAGTCGAGACTGACACTGCTATACAGTGCTGGAGGAGCACCTTATAGGAGATGTTGTCCAATGAGACATTAAACCAAGGTCCTATCTGCCTCTTCAGATGGACGTTAAAGATCCCATGACCCTATTTGAAAGTAACATCCTGGCTAATAATTCTCTAAGTAAAATTGGTAATTCACTTCATGGCTGTTTGTGGGGTATTGTTGTGTGCGGATTAGCTGCCATGTTTGTCTACAAAAATACACAATCATTGTACCTTACAGAATAATTCCGTAAAGCACTTTGTGATGTCTTCCTGACATGAAAGTTGCTAATATCAAATGCAGGTATTATAATATTAGATATGTACCTAGAAAGACTTTTTTATTTCTATCAGAACAAGGATCTTTATGTTTGTTTTCAAGACTTTTACCAGATCTGCTTCATCTCATTCCCAGACAATAATCTCAACTCACTTGGGACAATCAGATTGAATTAGAAAGCATGGGGATCATGGATTATAGATTGAAAGTAAATGACAAAATGGGCACTGGCTCAAACTAACACACACATGTAAACTAACAGCATAAACTTTAACTCAAACCGAATGGAGAGACTTTACACTTACTTTCATTTGGACTCTTTATTTATCCCTCCTTTTAGAACCCTACTTTTTGCAATCTACCATCATATCTTCTAACTCCTCATTTGAAAGTGGTGGTTGATATTATTTTTAATAACAATGCTTATATTGTTGGCATTGTTTCCTCTATTATTACAATAGTCCAGTGCCACTTTATCTCCAAAACATGTTTTCTTCTTTTTGTAATTAGTGCTTTTAGTGGTACCAGCCAATATATGGTTCAGTGTCTCATCCATTGATGTTTAATGCGTGCCTACAAAGTATACAGCCATGACTATTTACAGTAAATCCTGTGAAGTGCCTTGAGATGGACTTCTTACGTGATAGGCAAGGCACAATATCAAATGCAAGGATTATTAATAATAACAAAAGGGCGGCACCTCTGACAATGCCGTGTTTATCCACAGTACTATACTGGAATATCGGCCTAGACTATGCCTAGGCAAAGCCCTTGCCTGAGTTTCCCTGCTTCTCCCCCTGCACTCCACCCTCCCTGATCCCGACCCCCAACTCGGGTCCATAACTCTGTCTATCCAGCGTCTTGGGACGACCTCCCAACGTGAAAGGCGCTTTGTAAATGTAATTTTGTTGTTGTTGTTGCTGAGTTCCCTTTTTCCCATGGAAACATGTGAATGTTTATGAGATATCATTGATATGAGCCCATTATGTTGTGGTAGTGGTGGGGAGGAGTGTTAAATAAAGTTGGGGGAATCAGAAATATGCATAAACCAAGCAGGCAGGAAGCCTAAACATGGTTGGTATTTGTTTTTAAAATGCTGTTCCTCTTTTTCAAGCAACTGAGTCTTGTTTATATCTAGACACCAAGGCAATATCTTAAGGATTTTTGTAATTTAGGGAGACTTTGAAGATTGTTTTTTTACAACAAAATTGCATTGGTTCATCCATACCTGCTGAGTCTATGTACTTTCTTCCTCTGCCTGCTGATGTGGGATCTCATTTCAGGTGTGAACACAGCAGTAAGATGCCAATGAGAAATGCAATCTTAAACTAGGCTCCCTGCAGCGTGCACTGGAAATAGCTGCGGTGGAGACCATGACTAATTTTGTCTGGCACTAAGCCCCACTGTGCACCAATTGGAAAATTTCTTCCTTGGCTTTTTAATCTACAGTATTAGTAAATTCTGAACCATTTGCCACCTTGAAACAAAGAGAATTCATCCAATTTATCAACACTTCCTGGAAGATCTGTCAACCGCAGTGTCACAGCTTTATGTTCTTGTCTTGTGGATGATTTAATGATCTCATACACATTTTATACACAGATTGTGTATAAAATGGTGACTAACGCAGCTCAAAAAGTTGGATGAATGAACTTTAAAAGATTGAGGTCTAATATGCGTCATTTCCTAACACCCAATTCTCTTAAACAGGTGGGACAGATAAAATTGGTCATTCACTTTATGAATGTTTGTCTTACATTGCTGTGCACAAATTAGCAGCCACATTTGCCTACAAACACACAGTCATTACACTGTACAGTAAAAATCCTGTGAAGTGCTTTGGAACATCTCGACAATGAGATAAGGAGTTATGTCAAAATGCAAGGATTATAATTATTGTAATTTAGCTCTGGAAGTAGATTGCATTTGAATGTTGCTCATTGAGAAAGATTTCCAATTAGGAATCCCCTAATTGATCCAGTTTTCTTAAAAAAAAATCCTGTTCAGAAATACAGTGACATTCTGTTAAAATTGAATACTCAATTTGACAGCAGTAATTATTCAATAATCTGAACTATTCATATATCCGGACTAAACATAAGAGGAGACTCATCTCTGTGAGCTCAAGCTGCACAGCTTTCAATCGGACCAGAACTCGAAGCGCTCTCCTCCAAAAGTCAATTCCGTCCTTACTCGCATGTGGCCAACTTATCAATCACCAGCAACCTCTCTGGGACTGAGGTGATGGGAGGAGGAAGCAGGAGAGGATGCTGATGGCTGTGCTGTGCTGCAGAAAATAGTGATTTGGGATTGTTCTTTGCCCAGACTCGTGTATATTTGTTGGTTTATGAATGGTCACGGGGAAAATTATTCACTAAACCAAATTATTCGTACATCCAAAATTCAATTGACCAATCTATATTCTTAGATTAGGCGTGCAAATGGTTTGGAGTTTCTAAATTCAATTCAATGAAGTGAACTATTCAATTAACTGAATTTCACTGTACTGCAATTTTTGCAAAGGGTTCCAGTAACAGGTAAATCTAAAACAACCACATCACATTGTTTTAAAAACATCAATGCTTACAATTTCTGCTCTGCATGGAATTAATACTTGAGGTATGTTTTAATATTTAACTAAGCAATTAGGCACAATGCAATTTAGCAAATCACTGTTGAGAGAATAAGATTGATTAATTCAACAGTGTACAGTTGCAGTTAGTTTGCCCTTGTTGTGTGTACTGCTGGGGATTGTGGAGGTGAGGTCATTTGGCTGTCTTAATAAAAATGAAGCTGGGAATGTTCACACGAGAGAAGAGATCTCAATTTCATAGCTATAATTCCACCATTTATAGTAAGTGGGCCAGTGATTGTTATTTGTCTCACTATGCTATTAGCAAGCTAATATTCATTTGGTAGTGTCCTTGCTACTTTTTATGTGAAAACAATGAGAGCTGTTCATTAAAGCTGGATTTATTGTTATTACAAGATCATAAGAGAGGTTGGGATGAAGAAAACCCTTTGACCCATTCAGTCTTACCCACAATCCCCATCTTTCTAACACAACAATAAGCTGTTTTTTTAAAAATAAGTCCAGCATTCTGGTCTTAATCACCCTTCCTGGCAACCTGTGCAAATTGTTAATTCCCCTCTGGATAACACTTCTTGGTGTCTGCACTGAATCACCATTTGTGATCCCCTTTTCTTCTTGTTCTGCTTTCTTGGGGCGTCTGAAAGTATTGTTCTGGGTTTACTTTCTCAATTCAATTAAAATTTTATATATACATCTCTAAAACATCTTTCTTGAGACAGCAACTTGTATTTATATAACATCCTTCACACGGGATTCACAATTTGGAATCCGTTTTTTCTCAATTCTCTTAAAGCCTTCCAAATTAAGACTTTTTTAAAAAAAAAATCACCATTGTGGGGATCTTTACATTACAAGACAAAATGGTCTTGCAAGCTATAAATAGGTTGAAGTTTTGCACCTCCAGTGTATTGTATTTCTTGCCAGGCTTGATAAACAAACTTTGTCCTCCAGGAGCGGAGCTCTTGAAAAGCCACGTTAATTTCTGCTATGAATGCCCATGGGTTTTAGTAGATTGTGCCACTGAAAAAATGACAACTGATGATTGTTATGCCAAAAGAATGCTCTATAACTCTGATCACTTATTAATCCCGCTTTCATTTTTTATTATGTTATTTGATGCAGAGGAAAGACGGGCAGATGCAAAGGTCGATCCGAGAAGTGAACACCACAAACCGGGCATGTGTGCTGTGGGATTTAGAGGAAGATACAGAATATGTCATCCAAGTTCAGTCCATTGGTCTGAATGGGGAGAGCCGGGCTAGCAACCGGGTCCAGTTCAGAACCTTAAAAGAAACTGATTGGGTGCCTTCAAACAGCTCAAACAAAGGTAAGTTCTGTTATTTATTCTGGGCTTGTACCACACCCAGTGACATGATGCCCTGCCTTGTCAATCTATGAGTGCATCCAACAATGCAGCCTTTATCCTGCTGCTGGTCCTAGCTACATAAACAGCAGGAATCTTACCTGTGGTCTGTAATGGTAAACTGTGCAGATTTAGCTGGTTAAACTCCATTTGGTACCCCAATATACACTCTAGGGTGTTATCATACAATTATAGAAATTTAAATTGCACAAAGAGGCAATTCAGCGCATTGAGTCTGTACTGCTCTCAAAGCAAGGTGTTCAATTAATCCCACTGTCTCGACCTATTCCCATATCCCTTCAAGCCTTTATCTTTCACATACCTGTCTATTTCCCTATTCAAACCTACAATGGACTCTGCCTCTACCACCTTACTACCACCTTGAATGGTTTAGCTCTTACCTTTCCCACCGTCTTCACTTCGTCTCAACGAATGGCTTCTCCTCCACCCCCCGTACTGTCTCATGTGGTGTCCCTCAGGGCTCTGTCCTCGGTCCCCTCCTCTTCACCCTCTGTATGCTCCCCCTTGGTGACATCATCCGCAAACATGGGGTTAACTTCCACATGTATGCGGATGACACCCAACTCTACCTTTCCTCCTCTACTCTCAACTCCACGACCACCGATGTCCTGACAGCCTGCCTGTCCGACATCGAGTCCTGGACGAGAGACAACTTTCTTCAGCTCAACGTGCAAAAAACCGAGGCCCTCCTGATTGGCTCACGTCAGCGCCTCCGCACCTCAGGCGCTGACACCATCAGCATCCAAGGCTGCACTCTCCACCTCTCAAAGCCAGTCAGGAACCTCGGCGTTTTGTTCGACCCTGAGCTGTCCTTTCTCCCTCACATCCGCACCACAACTGGCACCGCCTTCCATCACCTCCGGAATATCGCCAGATTACGGCACTACCTCACCCCTCACGCTGCTGAAACCCTGGTTCACGCCTTTGTCACCTCAAGGCTGGACTATGGGAACTCTCTCCTCGCCGGCCTTCCCGCACCTCCCTCCACAAGCTGCAGGTCATTCAGAACTCTGCAGCTCGTGTACTGTCCCGCACCAGGCTTCGGGACCACATCACTCCTACCCTCGCTCGCCTCCACTGGCTCCCCATCCCCCAGAGGATTGATTTCAAGATCCTCATCCTCACCTACAAGGCCATTCACGGCCTTGCTCCCTCCTACCTCTCCAACCTACTATCCCCCTACCTACCTGCCCGTACCCTCCGTTCCTCTGGCTCCGGTCTGCTCCACGTCCCCCGCCCCAACCGCCCTACTATCGGTGGTCGGGCCTTCAGCCTCTCAGCCCCGAGGCTCTGGAACTCCATCCCCCAGTGCCTTCGCCTTGCTTCCTCCCTTTCCTCCTTCAAGGCCGGTCTCAAAACCTTTCTCTTTGACCGTGCCTTCAGCTCCCCTCTCGACTCTCTTCCTCCTCCTCGCTCCCTCCCTTCCCTCCCCTCACCCTGACCATTTCCCCCCTCCTCTCTCCCTCCCTTCCCTCCCCTCACCCTGACCATTTCCCCCCTGCTCGGGTCATGACCCAACTGTGCAGCGCCTTGGGACGTCCTCCTGACGTGAAAGGCGCTCTATAAATGGAATCTTGTTGTTGTTGTTGTTACTTGACAAAACATTCCACCTCCCAACCTGCCTAAACTTAGGGAATAGGTGAGCAGAGTGTTTCCTTCCGGGTAGTGATGCATACTCTGTACAGACAAATGGAAAGAATACCCAGAAGTGGAACTCTCAGGTCACTTAAACTCCAGCTATCGGATGTAATGGGTGGAATATCTAGTACAGTATCCAATGTCAGGACTGGTTAGGTTGGAGTTCTGAATACATGGAGTCCAGTAAATCAAGGGTTCACTATAGTTTGGTTTGGAGACATAAGCATGATCAGATTCTGTGTGTGTCAGACAGTCAGTTGACCGAAAATAAAATGGGAAGAAATTTTACCGGAGTCTAGACCTGGACTTTTTTCGTAGCATTTTCAAGTATGCAGTTCTTACGGAAAACAGGATTCAAAGTTGAGACTGAAGTTAAGAATTGTCTCAAATTTGCACACTCTAAAATGCTAAGAAAAATGTTTACATAATGCTGGCAGAATTTCACCTCCCCCTGATGATTAAGTTGCTAATCACCAGCATCATTATAAAAGTACAGAGGTGATGCAAACTAAATAGCTTTGAAAGACTTGCATTTGTTTTAATCATTCAATTGTTTCTATGGTTAAGAATTTTGTTGTAATAATGCTATGAAACTAGGACAGTCTTACCATACTTTGAGTTATTATTGCTGATCTTCATAAGAAAATCTCTTCTTCTTTCTGTTTATATACCACATGAACCTCCACTCCTAATCCCCTATCCCATTTGCCTTTATTCCTTTTTCACTTATGTACTTCCCTTTTCCCTCATGTATTCCTGCTAATTCTTCCTCTTCATATTCTGTATCAAGCAAAGGAACAGCTTGATAATGCAGGCAGGCTTGTGAAGAAGAATTGTAATTTATATTGTAATAGCTTTAAAAGTGAGGCACAAATTAAAACTGCTGAATTTCAATTTGACTTCATAGAATTCTGGACTATGCATCCTTTGAGTAAAACATCTGCATGAGTGGGATGATTTGGCTGGTTAGTGGATGAGGTGTTCTATAACTCATGGGTTTTGCCTTCAGCACAGGGAAGAACAAGGAAGTGAATCTTCTTGTAACATGTCTGTCTGTTGCTGGATGAATTGCACTTCACCACCATCTTCCCCTTCAGAAGCCTTTTCTCTCATTCTGTCTCCAGCCACTATAAAAGTGGAGGGTGGCAAGCCTGGTGCGTTGCCACAATTTCAGCACTTCAGTGCCACTCTTTGCTTAGTCTGAAAGCCCATTTTTCTTCACCCCTGAGGTGAAGTCTTCATTACATTGAAACGTTCAGTCTAGTATGAGTGATCAAACTCAACCTAACGCTGACTGTCTTAAGGACATTTATACATCCACTCAAACAACAGGTGCTGATGGCAATTAGCACTGCTCTCTTTGGCAGTAGCTGAAAGTTTTATTTTATTTTGGTATCCTGTTAAGTTAGCAAATGATGTTCATTACATATAAATGTAAGATACTGCATATAGGTAGCAAAATAGGGAGGCACATGTACTCTATGGATAAGACAGAGCTTGCCAAGGGGATAGCTGAAAGAGATCTAGTTGATTCATTGCTCATGTCAAAACAGTAGGACACAGCAAAAAACACAAGACATAGGAATGCTGGACTGTATTGCCAACTCAGTTGAATACAGATCTAAAGAAATTATGTTCAAGCTCCATAATACTCTGCAAAGATCACACCTAGAATACACATACAGTTCTGGTTATCTTGACAAGGTTCTAGAGGTAGTGCGGAGAACAACAAAGATGATCACCAGGGTTAGAGTAATGAGCTATGAAGAACAATTAAATGAGATAGGATTCCTAATGCCTGAAAAGAGGCATCTCTTAATGGCTCTCATAGAGCTATATCCAGCTTTAAATGGGATTGAGAAAGGAAACCAAGAAGAATACTTTCAGATATGCCAAGGCAGCAAAACAAGAGAGCACAGGTTTAAGGTTGTAATGGGCAATTTCAGTATCAGCCTAGACTATGAGCTCAATGAGGGACTTGATCCAACAGCCTTCTAACTCAGAAACTCTCCCTGATTTATGTATATTTATACAACCACTATTTATGGCATTCCACAATATACATACGTAATGTACTGTAATAGCTTTTACAAAATTATCATACCTTTTAGCATTTTAACTGGTATGCAGTATGAACTGAACACAAGATCAAGTGTTAGTGGCAATGAGCTTAACCGACTTGAGACCTTATACTTATTAGTTTCCACATAAATTATATCTTGTATTTTTCCTTTAAATACCTTGAGTTACACAGCTTACCCCATAAACTAAAATTCCTATTCCTGGAATTACTTCTGAAGCAGTAGTTGAAGTGTTCAAGCAGCCACACAGTTAACTGGAATGTGTTTGATCTTCTGTTTGATATTGTTTTATGCCTTCATGTAATTAATGCCTCATTTACAGCTCTGAATGATTCATGCATCCTTCAGATTTGTCTGAGAATTGTGCTAGTGTTGGGAGTCAAGTCAACTTGGACTGATCTGGTGCTTGGGGCACATTCCAGAGGTTGGTCAGAGCACAGCACTTTGATGAGGCTCCTTGGCTACTAACACTAGAAAAAGAAATATATAAGCTAAATTGGATAATGGTTAACATTATTCTGTTCAAGAAAGAAGTCTATGTTGATTGCTAAAGGGAATTCCCAATGTAAAGCAGCAGGAAGAAGATCACTACTTTTAGTGTGAAATAGCCCCAAATGTCTTATTTATACATTCTAAAGTATCAAATTGTTCCCAGTCACTTTGCACAGGAATGAATCTGTTTTCCATAGTAATGTCAAGGTTTAACCTACTTAGAAAAGATTTAATGGATCACACTATTTTCATCTTGCCTGACATTATCAGGTGGACCATTAGATTAGTTGAAGTAATCTATTAGAAAAACACAAAGTGCAATCTTTCACCTAACATAATTCTCAGTGTATCATGCTTTGTTTGGTTTTCATTTTGCTGACATCTTATCTGATTATGGTAAGATTTGAACAGGGTAAAAATTGTTATGTTTTGCAATGTGTTCCTTGTGTTAATTAGTTTAGCAGTTCTGTTATACTTGCTTAATTTCTTTTCTTATTTTCTTTGAACAAGTTCACAAACTAATTTAAGAATGCTCATTAGCCTTTCCCATTTTATTATTATTATTATTACTGTTATTTTAATTTCAGGATCACAATGGTGTTGGCAAGAACCAGCCAACACCAATATTACAAATTCAATACAATTCACATTTCAATGTATTCTACACTTTATATCCTTATCTTTTGAATTATAAGTGTCAGTCTGATCAGTTGAGTTCAATTCCCACTCTCT